ATTTCTTCTACAAATTATTTAATAATTAATTTTATTTCTAAATTTAAATCGACTATAAATCGTCGTATAATTATGGTAAATATCATCTGAACATTCTTGCCATTTAATACTTAAATTAGACGGAATATTCAATGCTTTTTGTACTAAAATATTATTTTATAATTAATTTCCAATAAGAAAAATAACCATCAGGCATGTTTAAGTAATGTTCTGAAGCAGAGACTGAATTTAAAATTTTTTTAGAATTAATAATACGCAATTTGGTAAAAAACGGAAAGTGTTTTTCGGAAATTGGGACTGAGAAAAACCTCATTAACCAAAAGTCTTGGCTCTTTTTCCTGCCTAGACGGGACGTGTCGATGCAGAAGGCCCACAGACAGAAGACCCAAGGACAGAAGATCTCTATGTGTCTTCTGTTTATGGGTTTTCTGTCACTACGCCGACGGGAAACAGGCACAAAGCTCTTGTAGGGTGAACAGACACAAAGCTCTTGTAGTCTTTATTAGGTGATCGAATAACTTGAGGGTGATCCAAGTCCTTGTATGGATTCTTTTTTGCATTACGAAATTTTATTTTCAAGCTCTTAGAAAAGCCGGGAATACACTTTTTTCTTACCATCTGTGCAGGGGAGTGTATTAAAATATAATGGCCGATCCTTTCTAGCCAGTCTATTCAAAAGTAAACTGCTAGTTTTAATTTTAAGTTTAGATGCAATTGTTCTGTTTGCTGGTTCTAAAAAATAAATAAAAAATTTAAATAAATATTTGTACCACAATCATCATAAATATCGTAAGGATTTAGCAAATCATTAGTATAACCAGGATATAAATCCATTTGCTAAAAGTTTATGGTTTTATTAACTCTGCACAACTAAAATTTTACCATATCTCCACATGTAGTGTTTGCAGGAATGCTTAAAATGTCGCAACCATCTTTAAAAATTTAATTTAGTAATTTAAAATATACAATATAAAATTTGCTGGGATAATCCAAATATGGAAAACAAATCGGGTCGCAAACCTTGTATCAACAATCTACAGGAATCTACGATCGAAATGATGAGTAGAGTCCGACATTTTAGGTCCGAAAAAGTGAGAAATAGGTTCCTATTTTAGGTTTTTAAAGTGGAAAAATAGGCTCGAAAAAATCCGAAAAAGGCCAAAATAGGTCCAAATTTTGACCAAATAGGTTCAAATTCGTGGGAGTACATTGAATCTAGCTAAAAAAAACTCTTGTCGCTTATTCGATACCCCCCGTAGCACCACCGAAGATTTACTTAGTTATAATTTTGTTCAGAATTATCAATCGAGCTGATTTAGTTGTCATTTGACTCGGTTTAACGAGCTCTTCTGGTGAGCTCATTGAGCCGACTTTTCATGACTTAAGCCCCAAAGAAAGCATGCCAAGCTGTCAACCAGCAAAGGAAAGAGGAAAAGTAGTCTAGTCTTGATCTTGAGTCGGGGAATTCTGAACAAAGTTATTTTTATCACACATTTTAACACCCATTTTAAGATTACCCCAAATTCATGTTTAATAATTATTTTTTGAAAGAATCTTTAATATTTAGCTTCATTTTAACAAAAAATTGACAGAAAATAGTCTAATTTTAATAAAAATCTTCAAAAAACCTAAAATAGGTCCAAAAAAGGTCAAAATAGGTTCAAATAGGTTTTAGGTCCAAAAAAGCCGAAATAGGTTTTTTAGGCTCAAATAGGTCCAATGTAGGAGTATGGTACCATGCCAAATAAGTGTTTTTTGAGCTTTACTCAACATTACAAGGTTGCAAAAAAATAGGTCGGAACCTAAAATGTCGGACTCTTCTGATGAGGAATCTACTAACAACCCCAGCTAAAAATATTTATTAAGCTAACCAATGCAGCCATTACAGCATTGATTTTGAAATTTTTGCCAAACTTCCTCATCAACCAGACCATGGCCATAAATGTATAAAGGTAATGTGTTTGTATTAAGAATATCACTCAAAATTCCATTACCAATCGCTACACCCTTTAACGAAATTTATTTTTTCTCTCTAAGTTAAATATCAAAATATACTTTTAAATTTATTTTTGTATCTTTGATGCTTTCCAAAATTTTAACACCAAGCAATGGAATATATGTTCCTGCATAAGACTCACCAGTGAGGTAAAATGGATTTGATTTAAATAAAGGATATTTATTGAAAAAATCTTTTAATGCTGCATAGTTAGCTACAGCAACCTGAAAATAGTTTTTTATGTATATCATACATGTTTGGACTAGAGACCTGACTCGAGGGTCATAAGTGACTCTTATCGATATCACAAAAATGAACGAGATCACGATAACAGAAGTTCTTTTTCGCGATCTCTTCTTGATACGGTCTCTAGTTTGGACTAGTTGGCGGATCTGGATATTCGAAGAGTTCCCGGAATCCACCAACTTAAGTTTGGACCTCAATATAAGTGGTAAATGGGAGGTAACTAGGATGTATCTCTTAACTTGCTTCACTGAATGGCAAGCCTAATTTTAAAAATTATCACAAATTGAGGTTTACTTAATCCTATGTATATTTTAAAGTGAGGTACGACTGTATAGTTTTAAAGGCACCTCATCATCATTTGTCAAAACATTCTTGCTTTTAGTATTATACGAAAATCCAACCCCAGCAGGGGATTCTAAAAATATAATTGATGCATAATTATTCCACGAATAAGGATTTAGGCGAAGTGTTTTTCCATCTTTGTTGATTAAATATGGGCCTAACTCTTCAAATAGACCACCAAGAGATGAACAGCCAGGACCTCCATTTAGCCACAAAACCTGTAGGAATTTTTATATAATTTTAGAGAATCATTGATATTAACCAATGGATCTGTTCCTGGATTTCCTTGGGATTCCACAAACATATAGTGAAATAAATTGCCATTTCCAGCATCCAAATAACCTTAAAAATTTTTTTAACGTAAAATTAAATAATTTACCTGAATAATGTTTAAAATTAAGTGTTGCGTTTAAGCCTGGTAACGATTTAATTTCATCTGGATTATTATTTATTTTCGATGATCCATAAATTAGATTTATTAAAATGCAAAATTGGAGAAGCCATAAAAATATTTTAGGCATTTCAAAAGGGTTTAATAAAAATATTTTATTTTTAGCCAAAATTTTGGTTAAGGTTTTTTCCTTTTATTCGAATTTATTTTGTATTTATGTATGCGTTTGTAAAATCAAAAATGTGATATAATTTTCTCGATTATATTTTTAAATAATAATTTAATTTATTAAATTAAATTAACACACAAGCTTAAGCATTCAGCTAACGTCGGGCTTTACGCTCTCCTCAAATAGAGGGGAGGAGAACCATTTGATTTTTTATCCATAATTATTTAATTGTTGGCAAAATTTTGAATGAGAGCTCCAAAAATTTTTTTTATTAATTTAATGCTGAGCTAAATAAGGTGCTGGGCTAAAATAAATTTAAATATAAATTTAAAATTGCTGAAAAACGTGGAATATTTAAAATTGATTTTACTTTTTTCCAAGTTTGACATGCATGTATTAAAAATGAAATTTAAATCTACTCATGTATAGCCGGTGGATAGTCAAATTTTGGCCAGCTACGGGAGACTAGCCACAACTATAGCAGACTATTTTAAATACAAAATTAATTTAAAAATAAATTTCCAACTTCAAATCCAAGTGTTTCCGTAAAACGTTATCCCATCAAATTATTTAACATTAAACTAATTTATTTAACCAATTTATGTATCTAACATAAAACAGGCTAGTTTTAAGTTTAAGTTTAGATGCAATTGTTTTATTTATTGGTTCTAAATCTTAATACAATTGTAAGACAGAATCGAATCCCGAAGGTAATACTGAGCAAATAATATACATATTTTATATCCAGGTTCAATGTCCAAAAATATTTCCAATAATATTTTCTATGTGACAAACAATTTTATTCCTACAACTATTTAATGATTTTATTCTCAACTACAATCGGTTCAGTTGTTAGCTTTTATGATTAATTATTATTTTACTATGTATTAGCTAATTTATAATTGTTTGTATTTTCCTAGTTCATGAAATACATATAGCGCATTATTGCTTCGGTGTTTTTGGTGTTGGGAAGAAACCAAGGGACTTGATCAACCTCGAAGGTCAATCTAGGATTGTCCCGATCACATTCTCCCCGTTACAAAATTCCTTAATATCTGGGAAGGGTTCAGCCCTTTCGGCGCAGAGAATAATTAATTGAAGATATAAAATAGAAGTGGAACATCCCACCGGGATCCCATTTTACTCAATATTAGGGTTTCACCGGAAGTTCCGGTTCCGGTTCCGGAAAGTTCCGGCCTTTTTTTGGTTCCGGTTCCGGTTCCGGGAACCGGAACTTAAATTGGTTCCGGTTCCGGCTCCGGTTTTCAAATCGGTTCCGGGCAAACCGGAACTTTTTTACACCCCTAAAGATTGATTTTTTTAAAAATATGGGTTGGTCTTCCCCGGCTGGCGTTACAATATTCTCAAAATTTTCGCCTGCGGCGCAAGAAAAGGAAGAAATTTAGCCCTTGTCCTCACAAATTCTCAAAATTTTTGCCTGCGATGCCAGGAAAGGAAGAAATCTGGCTTCTTGTCCTTCCAAATTCTCAAAATTTTCGCCTGCGGCGCTGTTAAATGAAGTTTATATCGGAGGATCTGGATGGATGAAGGTGTATTTTAAGTTACAGCATTTACTTTCAAGGGGTCATAGGTAATACCGAGGGATCTGGGTGTGATATTGAGGGATTAAGCTGTGCAAGGTAGATAGCAGGGATATGGGGATTTGGCCTTCCAAAACTTGGCATTTCTCACTTGGCCTTCCGAAATTCACAAAATTTTCGCCTGCGCCGCTAAAAGGAAGGAAGAATAGGTTATTTTTGATAATTTGCATGGATTAATGGGGATTTGGAAGATACTGGGTGATTTCTTGTACCAAAGGTTAAAATGGTATATCGGTGATTTGATATCTAGGTATCTGGTGGGATGAAGGATAATTCGAAGAAATTCGGGGATTAAAGGGGAATCATATAATTGGTGTGGTATCGGGCATATCATGCGATTTGGATAGAACGGTTCGGTTTTACGGTTCGATTTTGGTTAACCGAAAGTTTCGATTCGGTTAGTCATTTCGGTTAACAGAATAATTGGGTGAAACCGACAAACCTACTTTGAATTCAAATTTCTTTTAATTTTTTTAAAATTTTTTAAATTTGCTAGAAATTTTTTAAAGTTCCGGTTCCGGTTCCGGTTCCGGGCCGGAACTTAGAAAAGTTCCGGTTCCGGTTCCGGGAACCGGAACTCAAATTGGATCCGGTTCCGGTTCCGGTTCCGGTCAAAATTTCGGTTCCGGTGAAACCCTACTCAATATATTCTCAAATAATTAGTAGAGGGTAGATTTTCACTAATGTAAATGATTTTTTGCAATTCATTTCGTCGAGAAGAGCCCAAATATGCCATTAGATTTTCGATATTATGATTCTGAACAAAATATTATAACATTTCAATATACCGTATTATCTCTAAAATAGCCCCATGGGGTTTTTTTCGATTGATGTCTAGAGGGGGGTTATTTTAGAAGGGCAACACCGATTTTTTCAAAATTGTTAATGTACTTTAATTAAGTTAAAGTACATTAAAAATTTCAAAACTTGCATCATTATCTTTATATTTATTTTTTCGTAGACAAATTACAAAATTAATATTTGCACTTTAAGGCAAATACCACGAGTTTGATCAGTCGATATCTTTGATGCTCTGTGTGATTTACGCTTCATTATACACTTAAATTTTATTAATGTTTAATAAAATAATACGTTAATTAATTCTTTCTTAAATTGTGAAATTGCTACTAATTTTCTTTAACTAGAAAATAAGATACTTTTTGTTAAAAATTGTCATAAATTTACTATTTCTAGAGGAAAAAAGCAACCGAGTTCTCATGTTACCGGTAGTGGTTGGAAGCTCGTACAAAATTCGTACCCGTACTTGTGTACGAAATACGAGCACGAGCAAAAAATGGACAGGTGCGGGTACGAGTACGAGCAATTTCAGAATTCAACTTAAAATTCAATTTCAAAATTACAACCGTTGGTTACCGGCCATGTTGCAAATAAATTTTCAAAATTTCAGATGATTAAATTTTATTTTATCATACTCATAATTTTAATTATATTTTTGAAAATTCAATGCGCTGCGAAACTCATTCGTGTTGAAGTGAAAATTGTAGATAATTGGAAAGAAAAAAGAGAATTTATTTATTTAAAAAATGTTGAAATAAAAGATCGTTTTGCGGTGAAAGTAATTAAAAAGTCAAATAATCAACACGATGGCTTTAATAAAAATATAGAAGGATATTTACGTTCAATTGACTTAAATCCAGATAAAAATATGTTTGAAGTTGAAATAAGTAATAAATCAAAATATATTCCAATTGATCAATTAAAAAAGAAAATTTTGATTGAAATTACTAATAATGAAATAATACAAAATTTTTTGCCTGCGTTTGAAAAAATGGTATATTTTGATTAATAAAATTTCCATTCCATAGCTCACAACTAGAGTGCGCAGGACGGGATTCCTGCGGATTTTCAGGGATCCCAATCCCGGATTATTTTGATTTTCGGGATTCGTTATCCGGGATTTATCCCTCGGGATCCCATCGCGGCCCTGGTTTAAAAAATCCCGACTCGGGATCCCGGATGTGCAATTTTGCCGACATCTATTCACATCTACAGTGTGTTAAGAATTTATAAGTGCACTTGAAAAATATTTTTTTAAGGTACTCCGAAATAATAATTTTATTGAAAATAATAATTGTTATTCAACTTCAATATTGTACAAGAATGAAAATAATTGTAGCTCAATTGAAGAGAGTATAGAAAATTATAAAAACAAACTTTCGTCAAGTTATTGGACAGAAATTAATTTAAATGGATATAAAATTGAATTGTTAGAAAAACAAAAAGTTGAATATCCGAAAGAATTAAAAAGTAGAATTATTTACATCGGCAATGAAATAAGTAATAAAAATTTTTAATTTTTTGGCCAAGGAAATTCCTTTCTTGCATATGGTAAATTTGTGTGTGTCCATCTAAATTGATACTTCGGGAACATTTATGTACTAGCGCTGTTCCCCCACACCAGTGTGTCGGAATTCCGATTTGCGGCGTTTTTTCCTTCCGATTTCCGAAAAAAATTTTGATTTCCGATTTCCGAGTTCCGACTTTTGAGCCAGTTCCGATTTCCGGCTCTTCCGATTTCTGACACCTATAACTGTTCCGCCTCACCTCTGCCCTACACCCCTACTTGAACAGATTCTATGACGATATATCTACTTGTGCTAAAAATTTGTTTCTTCCGTTAACAATACCGCGCGTCTTATGATATTCCTAAATATTATAGATCAACTCAATGAGAAAAATAAACGACATTGTTTCAATTGTAACACTACACAGGCGTACAACTGGTATATATACCTTGAGAAATACAATTTATGCAAAGATTGTAACCATTATATACGTAGAAATAACGGAGAAAATAGACCAAAAATATTTTGGATTAAAACTAAAATGGTTCATAATTGTTAAAAAATTTTTTCTATTGAATTTAAGGAAGATCGACACTGTGCAATTTGCCATGCTACAGAAACTCATATTTGGATCCGTCATTCAGAACCTGGGCAATATTTATGCTTTTCCTGTTACGGTAAACAAAGATATATAAAGAAGAAGCAAATGAAATATTTAAAAGAAAACGAGTCTAAAAATAAAAACAATTGAGATTTTGAAAAAGAAATGGAATGTCCACATGTGTGTAAATGTCCACATGTGCGCAAAATGCATCTTTGATAAGAAAATTTCTCTGC